TGTAACGATTTTACATAGCCTTAAAATTCATGGTAAAGTTGCTGCAGTAAGCTGTAGCCTTTTGTTTACATTCTTGTGTGTGTTGAACTTTGAACCTTAAGTTGGAATGGCTTGTAAGTGGTATCAGTTTACTAAAGAGGGGATTGTGGTGTCCAGTAGAGGGGTTGGCGGTCAACCATTCAAGGCCGTCCACTTTTCCTCTGGCTGCCAGTCAGAGTAGCAGTGAACCATTCAAGGTCGTCCACTTTTGAAACCTATAAATACAGCTGCTCTACGCAGTGTTGGTCAGTTAGAGTTCAGTTAGAGTTACTGTAGAGTATAGTGGCAGTACTCAGTGAGAGTATAGTGTCAGACTTAGTTTCACAACTTAGTTTGAGTCAGTTTCACAATATAGTTCCAGTTAGTTTATTGTAGCTGAGTTGCAGTTGTTTAAATTAGAAGTACAGCAGTACAGCAAGAATAGAGACAGTGTTTAGTAAAAGATACAGAAACATGTACATTTGTGTTGAGAGTTATTCGTAGAAATAAAGTTTACAAAACAGAGACCTTGTTTTGTTGGTGGCAGCGAAGTAAGAGAACCGTACACTGGTGGCAGAAAAACAAAGACCTTTACAATATGGAGGTCTGCAAAACTGACAAGAAGGGTGTCATGTTAAGGGCTCATTTCACCGCCCAGAGTGTAAATATGCTATTATACTAATGCAATAGAAAATACCATGACATGACGCAGTGTGTGACAGAGCATGGAGACGAGGGACATCCAGGGAGATACCATCTCCATCTGAAGTCATTTAGATCCTACAATGTACTAATTCATTCAAGATGAAACCACAAGTACAATCAAAAACCATTTTGACAATATAATTCTCACCACTTAATTTTTTGGCTTCAGTACAATTAAAGTGCAGTGAAGAAAAGATTGGGTTGATGCTTGAGATTCAGGAAAAACATTCCCACAAGAAACTAAAATACACTATCAAATGCATAGATCTCATTAATTTACTTACATCACAGCTCCTGGCTAACATGTATACCAAAGTGTTATATGTATATATCTAAAGATAAAACAAGATGCACCAAGTCAATTTTTCACCTTGAAACTAGACAAGCTACAACTTTATGGCTTTTTAATACAATGTCACCCTACACATACATGAATACAGCTACTAGTACTAGTACTGATCAAAGAGATAAACTTGAGGGACAGCTTTTCATATATTTTATGTGCACTGCATATTATATAATATCCACTCATACAATTATAGATGCGGTCTCACCAATATTACCAAATACATTTTAGACCTGTATACAAGTTTTAAGTAAACATTAACTACAACCTCCCCACCCTGCTATACCTTAAACCCTAAAGTCAAGGTGTCATCCTAATAAACAGCTGGTAGGATTACAGATGGCTTGTATAAAATGAAAAGGGAATTGCAATCAAGTGCCTTATGTTAGGACTAAAACAGTTTCTGCTAATGTGATGAAAACATGCCGCAAGGATTCAAATCAATGAACACATTCTTCACTTTAACAACATTTACAATCTTTTGCATATCCAATATTTACATTAAATAACATTTGTGGTCAGATCAGCTCAGTACACAAAATAAAGAGGGTCTATTATCTTATCATTTACTCCCCCTCAAACCCAAGGCTGAGTAAAAGGCAAGCAAACATTTTGAAAGGCAATGGCAGAATTATGACCTTTCCAAACAGATGTTTCATATACCATTGCTATACATACATACATGGTCAAGATGAGTACTTGGGTACTTTGTTTTATGTGGCTCTCAACCTGATGAGTTGACTTGTTGATATCTTATTGAGTCATTGTATGTATGGGACATTATTTGGCGCTCTTCATAACGTAAGAAAAAAATTGTATTATTTATTTTACAACATTCACAAACAAAGATTGTTGAAAAGCATGCATTCACATTAGTCTCTCAAATCTCCTGCTAAAATTTTACTCAACCTTACAAGCAAAGGCAATCAGCCTGAGTAGCAATATCACAAGAGCTGAAAAGACACAAGTGTTACAGCTGAAAGCATGTTTATCATACCTTCTCAACGTTATGTCATTTATTTGGAAAGCAGTGTGCTCCACCATGATGGTTGCACAAAGACATACTGTTTCCCTTAACATCAATCTATCTTGTCACTGTACACTGAGGTGATTTTTCTCCACTGCATCAAGTTAGCTGACATATAAACTTGTCTGCTATTTCATGTCTATACTATTTCATGTCTATACTTCATATTTAACTGCTTTGATGGACTTTCAAATAGTGCGTAAAGCATGAACGTATAATTATTCCTGTGCATGCTGGTTGTGTGACAGTTCTGAATGTCAAGAAGAACACTTGTAATCCAGTTGTGTGTGTGTGTGTGTGTGTGTATGTGTGTGTGTACGTGTGCATGCATGTGCATAAGCAGCTCTGTGCATATGCTCATGTGCATGCTTACACACGTGTAGAAGCACACCCTGGTAAAAAAAAAGGTGTCCCATCAATCACTGTCAACACCACTTAAAAAAAAAAAAATTCTGTTCGCTGTCTGAGCTCAATCTGGGACCAGTAGGCATCCTTGATATTCCAGGTCTCTAGGTGTACGAGTACCTGAACAGAATATATCAACTCACCCTGCTGGATATGCTATTAGTCCTGTTTTAGAGTCTACTGCCAAAGCTGCATTGGTGGTAACAGTCAGTCCTAGGACTCTTTCTAGTGTCACCTACAAAGAGAAATAAAATGATAAACAATTTCAATTGTGTAATATACCACTTGAGGTCATGATTCTATAAAAATTATTTTAATTTTGTACAATTTTCTGATAAATTATTAAGTTACCATTCTAGGGGTTGACAACTTTTTCATAGGTATATATTTCTAAATTTATTATCATTTGGGAAATCAAGCTGTCTTTTGTCCACTTCATGTCAAGGTTATGCTATATCACCAACCACTTGAGGTTTTGAAATGCATTTAATTACATAGTATAAGACTTTGGCCATAGGAAAACTACCCTTTACCATATAATTAAATAAAAATTACACTTGACTATGCGTCTGCCTTTAAGACAAAATGAACCTTAATCAGGGCAGGCTCTCCCCTTTCTCCCAGTACATTCCTCCCCCTGCACGTATCCAGTGCAGGTGATCTAGTCTATCTTTTATTCACTGAGCCATGATTTTTTATATTTCATATTATAAGTAATCCTCACACGCTAAATATAACTATACAAACAGGTCATCACCTGCATACTGCACTATTTGTGAATAATTCATTATACATACAATACGATCTAGGTTCCAACTTCAATGCACCTGTACTGATGCTGGTATGAAACAACAACAAAGAACTATGGAGTGATGACTAAAACTAAGCAGCAATATTCATGATAACAGATATCATAAACCACCAAAATGATGCCTACCTTCTCAGTCATCTCATAATCCAATTAAAAAGAAAAAAAAAACCCAGGTGAACATTAACTAGAAATACCACCACCACCTGTAGATGACTGTGCCCTCAATATGGACCAGCTCCAACATTTACTTTCCAGGCTATTACCTCTACTACCCGGTCTCATGTAACCTACAGTACATAACTATAGTGCCCTGGGTCAGAGATGTCAGGAAGGGAGACAGTGATGTGCTGGAGATAGGAACACTCCACACACAGCAGAGATAAACCTACTTCCATACTGCATAATATGCTTAGGGCGGATGACGACTGTTGCTGGTTGTCATACATATTGATCTACATATGAGAATTTTAGTGTTATCACACCTTGACAATGTGATGAGGCTTAAATAATGACCCCTGACCTGTGATTAAGTATCTGGTCTTTGTTTTAACTTGTACATCAGGGGGGAGTCCTTTAATTGCTAAGCATGTCACTAAAGTGTATTAAAATTGAAATAACAATTTTGTTATTCCACCCTAATGGACACCATGTTTATACATGTGTGTACATACAATCACACAACATCAAATTACCTTGAACATTCTGATCAGCTAATCTTTTCCTCTGACAATACAAGTCCAATATTCTCAGAAATATAGTTACTAGCAGTAGGAACGTCACTGTTGCTGGACTGTAATAATAATGTTATCAGTCTGACTTGACACACATGCTACAGAATAAAATCACTTTTGTCTAGTCACTCGCTAATGCATCACACAATCACTTTAATAATGCTCCATCTGTGGTAAATCAAGGTGAACACCAACATATGTTCAAAAAGTTGCTTATTGTAGTTTGATTCATCCAGCAGGAAATGGAAAAAATATTCAGACTGTTATGCTCCCTGTTCGGCAAACAGCACCTCTTTGACAGTCTAACAATGCTGCCTTCAGCTTTGTATCTGCAGTACAAGTATATATCCCAGTAGAAAGTGGGTTGCAATGAAGTCTCTACTTCAGAAGGATAAGCCTTCTTTCACCTCATCTGTAGTTACAATTAAAATCAGCCCTCTCCCTTGCACTAGGGATTTCACCTGGGATTTTTCCCAATACATATATTGTAATGTATTCTGTTATCCACCCTTCAAGTCCAAGTGGCATGGTTCAATACAAAACAGGTTTATACTAGTAAGTAAGGAAAGACATGCAAATGAAAAAAATCTGTGTAATTCTGGACTTCTCATTTTGTCTTCATCAAACTGATGATATGTACAACAATTGGTTGTATTTTCTACTCACTAAAATGTACAGTTTTACATAACATTTCACAAAATCTTGCTAGTATTTCCATTAAATGTTTTGCCATTTCTGTGATAACTAAATCTGATTCAACAAAGTCACGCCACTTTCCAATAAATGATGCATAAAACCAATTCAAACATAAATAAAGGTGCACAATACCTAATCTTATTAATTTCTAGTTCACTGTATTACCATGCAAACATATTACATTTACACCCAAAACTGCTGAATACCCAGGTCAGAACACAAGACAAAAATAAATTATGTATCACAAGAATTATTCACACCAGTGCTGACACATCCAACATAAATCACGCAACATTTGTAATACCTGGATGGCCATTAATTATAGAAAAGGTTAAATACTAATGTCTAGTGGGTGCATTCGATGAAGTCTTTAACTGGCAACATCATTTAGTGAAATGGTCGAGTGTATGTGATGTACTAGTACCTGTGTCCAACATCACTTGGGTTCACGCTTTCTTGGATACAGGTTTTCGCCAGGATAGATTCTGTAATTAATATGTGTTGTGGGCGCCATGCATTGGGTAAGGCAATGTAACAGATCTCTGAAGTGGTCAGTTTTAAGCAAACCCAAGGAGACCACACATATACAATCAGCTCTTCCTAAACCAATCTCAACATAATAGACTTTACACACACATAGACATAAGCTTCACAGATAAAAGGTAACAAGGATCAGGTTGTAGAAAAGAAATACTATCCTTATCCGTCGAGTGCCTTGGGGAATCTCCTTTAATTCTGGAAGAACCATGACATATTCTCCATTTTCAAAGACAATTGAAACCCTTAAAAAATCACACCTGGAATAGTAAGCTTTATTTCCAATTGATCTAGCACATGGGGTTAAAATATTTGGTATTCAAAATGAGCATAAACTAAACATCGGCTACTCTACCAGTACTATACAGCAGTTTCCTACTTTGAAGCTCCCCAAAGATGTAAATAATGCATACAAACTATATGTATACTGTACTATCTGTTTTCATGGTTCATATATTTTGTTCATCAAACTCTCACTTTGATCATCCCTCTGCAAACAGATGCTTCTTTTACTTGAGGAAGTGAACATTGTGTTTGGTTAACGTATGGTCTCCAAACATCTCACATCAGTGCACTCCCCTAATATCATTATGTACAACTCTCAATTTTCACCTCCATTCATAAGATAGACAGGTCTCTATAGATACAGGTACTTGTAGGATGGTATAGCAATGCACAAATTTCCACTATGAAGACATTCTTACTCAAATGTTATCACCTATGATATAATATGTTAGCTAATTTTTCTGCTTTCCCATTTCATTTCTGTTGTCTGGGTATTTGAAGGCAGACTCCTCTTAGTCTGTCAATTACTTATAACATGTCTGTTAATTTCTTCTGGTTTTGTCATATTTGGTCAATTTTCACCGTGTTAACAGGTTGACATGCTAAAGCTCACATGATCTCATGTAATTATTCTGTCAATGGCTTTGGTAAGTAAGGCATTATTTGTGAGGCAGGGCTGAGACCCTGTTAGACCTCAAACTATCCAACAACTGAGATCTACCTGGTGATGAACAATAGAGACACTCTGTCCTGGAAACAATCTCACGTTAAAAAAAAAAAAAAAAAAAAAAAAAAACAAACTTTTTGAGGCAAGTGAGCATGTAATCATTAATATTAATATAATTCTTTTCTAATTTCTAACTGCCTGACACAAATCAAAGTGCAAGATAAAATAAGCCAGTTTTTTTTAATTATTAACCAAAGACATAATAATACAGCCAATTATTATATCATTATGTGAATTTCTGCTAAAGTTTTAGGCCATGTGGCAGAATTTATACATATTGATAATATTAATTTCAGAGGTCACTGAGGGTTTTGGAGATTATCAGATACTGATAACTGCTTTTAACAATAGGTAACTTCTTCTACAGTGAATGAGATATCCTCTTGCTGTGGATGTTTCACAATGGAGGACATGTAAAGGATAAATTTAGAGTGGAAAAACCTGTAAATAAGTTGATTCCGCAAAAATGTAGACCCTCCTCTTTGGTCATTATAAAAATACCTGTCACTGGATTGTCCCCTGGAATGTACTACGCAAAATACATAAAAGGATGTAACTTGATGACATCCTCACACAAAAATGTACAGCGATTAACAATTCTCATTTATTTTCACCTCTGATTAAAAAGGTATGCCAGGACATTAACTACACCTTAAGTTAACTGCATTAATTTAATTACTAAGTCGAGCAGGGAGTTGACCTGTTAAGATGCTGACTGAAGAATCGTTTATAAGTGGTAGAACTACATGCACACAGCGTAATGCTATTTATCAGTGCACCTGCACAGACTCCTGTGAGAGTAGAAAAAAAATGTGCCTCTTCACAGGTCACACAATGACAACATTACCGACCATTGCCAAACACTTCAGGACAAATGTCAATATAAACAAACCTCCTCCCAGGGAAGCAGAATTACATAATAAGAAATGATTTCATAATTTGATTATGAGTATAAGATTGGAGTCTCTGGAACCTGAAATCTAATCTCATATAGGCTGCGATCTTCAGATTGCACACTTCCGTCCTCTATTCATTGTGATTTCCATCTCCTAGTCTATTCTGTTTAATAGGTTAAGCATAAAAGCATCTCTAGTCCAGACTTCCTATGCTTGTTTATAGACCGCAGCTGATCAATAGAGTACATAAGGAAATTCCTTAATAATACCAGAAATTAATTTGACTGAATAAATTAAGACTGCAAGTCTAAATATTGAAGGGGGCCTCAGTGTACACAGATATATAGATATTTATAAAATATGAATGAAATGAAAATGTGGGTCTACCTTATAAGGCATCATCTATAAAACAAAGCTTTTTATATTTGCATTTTGGTACCCAAAAAGTTAAAAATATTTTCATAATAAATGTCACACAAATTAATCTATATAAATAAAAACTGATTTTCATATAGCTGTGGAGAATCATCAGGTATGACAAATCACATTGATGACTGTGCTAATTGGTCCAAGATTCCAGATATCTGAATGTTGGTCAGGCATATTATCATTATTAAAATCCATCTTGAGGGCCATGACTTAATAACCAAGATTTTATTGGCATCAGCATGCTGATAAAAAAATCCTTCGTTTACTTGTGACAATGATAAATAGCTGGGCTCCCCAGGTGTTCAGAATTTTCTATACAGAGTTATGTAATCTTCCAATACCTGGTTGGTGTTTATAAAAATATGGGTTGGTCTTATCTCATATATAGTTATAATTCTGAAGGGAGTGTGTATGTGCGTGCACGTGTGTGTGTGTGTGTGTGTGTGTGATTGTTGTGATTATTGATAAAGTATGTGTATGTCGTCTTTAATTACAAAGACTAACAAGACTTCATTGGAACTTATCACTAAACTGAGTAAACTTTATACTCAAGATTTACAAACACTCTAATGAATTCAATTTGATTTCAGAAAAGTCTGGTTTCAACTACCATGTGGACCAGCATATATTTAAAATATGTCAAATTTACCAGCAATCAATAACCCATGAACTTTACACAGTAGATCATAGTGAAAAGCCAAACAGATGTTAATGCATTACATAGAAACTAATATATGCCTAAATGGATACAGTACTAGTTACAGTTTGGTCTGTTATCCTACGTTCTCTACGCAATTTTTATGTGCCCACAAGGTGCCACACTTCATTGCCACAGGTTAGAAGCGGTTCCATAATTTGGACTTCATACATGAAACTGTCATTTTGACAATATTGTAACAGGCTATAAAATAGAACAAAGTACATGTACATACCCTGCGACTGATATCCACAACTTTACTCTTCCTCTTCAACGATCCAGTTCTTAAAACTTTTACTGGAGTCGTCTCCATACTTGCATCGCACGCGTGCGCTTATAATCCTATGTTGTATTATACAAAGTTAGGTTATTCCCTGGGTTGTCACTTATGTCTGGAATAAAAAGTTTGGCAATTCCAACAAAGATTACCAAAAAGTTAATAATATGTCTGGAAAATAGTCAGAAATCAAATGTTATAACTTCCACAGAGTCTCCTACATTTTAAATGTATTCCCGGTCCAATAAGACAGCGGCATCATAGTTTAAAAACTTCCATTAGGAAGAGCACCCGTGTATTCGTCACGATCATCCCAGTTTTGAACATGAACCAGTCAAGCCTAGCGTACTCATTTCTTCTTCCGTGTGATTGGCTCTAATTTTTGGTTGGTCAAAATCATTAATCTTCGTATCAAACGCTTAATTAAAACATTGTGAGCTTATGGGAAAAGAGGTAGTATATCTATTATCAATTACACCGATATTATAAAGTTGAGATTTTAAAAAGACCAAAATAAGACAAAATTCACTTTTGATAAATCGCCCTATTTTTCTACCGTCCAATGAAAACGACGTTAACATAGGCATCCCCACTTTTAACGCATGCGTTGTAATACCGGAAAAGGGGAAAGTCCACGTGGGTTTGTTTTGATTTTGTTTTGTTCTGTTCCTGTTGTGCATACAATGTCGTTGGGTATAGAGTACCGGCATCTTACAGAAGCATACGAACGAATCAGTCCGCATATTCACAAAACACCAATATATACTAGTTCTTACATAGATGAACTGGTAGAAAAGAAAGTATATTTTAAAGGCGAACATCTACAAAAGACTGGTTCATTCAAGGCAAGAGGAGCTTT